TGTCCTTAGTATTAGCATCAAGAGGATAAGTACTTATGGGGCAGTGTAATGGCTGGGAGAGCATACAAGGAGGGTATCCCAGGTGTAGGTAATGTTTTATTTGTTAATCTAAGTAACAGTCATGAAGATATGTTCAGTTTGTGAAGCATATGCAATGTTGTATGTTTATTCTATGTCAATAAATCCAAATAATTCTAAGAATAATCATCAATAGAAAGAACTTCCTCTAAATAACAGAATTGTTTCAAGACAGATAATAGCTGTTCTTTTATTAATTATAAAAGAGGAAATTAATTGGCAATAATGTGCTGGAGCTGGCTCCCTAGACCCAATTACATGCATTTCTTAAATTCAGTAACGTCTTGGTAGCTTGAAATTAGCCATGTTGAAATTTATACCATGGAAACTGGCAAATGGTACATTGGGCTGTTGTCTAATGCAGTTCATTCATAGCATCAAAAGTAGCCCTCTGGCACTCACGTTCCACAGGGCATTATCTGGACCCTCAATGTCTCCGAGAGCAGCTTGCCTACACAGAACTGCATTCAGATCACTTTGCACTCAGGGCCACTGCTAGACTGGCTTTGTAGCTGGAATAATGACTAAACAATTCACATAAATGTTAAAAGTGGCTAAAAGGAACATATCTTGAAGAATTATAATACTGAGAATATTTTCTTTTCTGTAGTGAATTTGAGGAATTTATTTGTACCCATGTATGTATTTAATAAGAAGAGAAAACATGTGTACCATCGTAAGAACTTTTAAAATCACTTTGTTTGGAGTCACTGTTCCCAATTAGCATCTTAAGAATATCATCATATCTTTAAATCTGCCTTTCTTACAGGGGCAACTTTCTAATTTGAAAAAAATTGATATCTAGAAATTGTTAGTTAAATATCTATGTAGCATACATACATATGGGAATATCGTTTCTTTCCTTATATTTTATTATATAAGCATAAAATGGACTAAAATATTTTATTTTTACTTTTGAGATATGGATTTCAGTCAGTAGGCAGATTGTTCCTCTCTAGGTTCTTTAACAGATAAGGAGCAGATGTGCCCTTGGGAGGAGACTGCCAGGGAAAGAACAAATGTATGAGTAATCTGGAAAAAGATTAAAGTCATTATGAGTTAAACATCAGCCTTTGGAACAGAGCTTTTCCGTGTATTCTGAGAAGTGAGCCAGTGTGTGTTCTGAACAGCAACAACAATGACAGAGACAGAGGCAGAGGCTGGCGGTCCTCAGGAGCCAGTACTCCCCTGTAGCACCATTCCATTCCTGGGCTTATCTTTTAGTCTGATTTTGATTTTCTTTGGCTAGATGGAATAGAACCCTTCATTAGTCTGTATTTGTATTTAAGAGCATTGTTTTATTTGGTTAGACAATGTCTTTAAAGTTATATATACTTTGGCAGTGAGCTTTGAGGAATGTCTGGCATGTTTGTTGGCCAACTGCCTTGCAGATGGAAATGAAGTTCTGTGAGGAATCTTCTGGGCCAAATACAAACTTATTGTTGCTTTCATAAAACTATTCAAAGCATAAAAACTCTTCTTGAGAGTCAACACTAGCAACTGGTCTAGAAGCTGGTTGCAAGAATGTACCTGCTGTATTTTGCAATGATTTTTCTGTTTGTGATGCCTGTTTTGTTGTGCTAGAATTGCAAATACAGAACATACGGACAGCTGTAGATCTTTTAGGTGTCTGACAGTCTTCATAATGACTATGCTTACTGGGCATATTATATTCTTCTGTACATGCAAACATGCTTTATATTTTAATTCAGTGAAGTTACTGTTAAGCTTTGTGTTTTAGTTACTTTTTTCTCATTGCTGAGACAAAATGCCCAACACTCAAATTTAGAGGAGGGAAGGTTTATTGTAGCTCACAGTTTGTAGGAGTTTCAGTCCATAATTGGCTGGCTCCAAGGCAGGGTGCCATGGCAGAGAGGTATAGCAGAGGAGAAACAGTTTATGGCAGGCAGAAGGCAGCAAAGTAGCAAGTAGCAAATGACAGCAGCCCTCTATCTGTCTCTTATATTCTATCCAGGCTACCTGAACCTAAAGCAAGTAACACTCACTTCCCAGGTGGGATATCATTAATCCCAGCGTCCATCCTTAATCCCAGCATTACACACTCTAGATCCAGCCATGTTCAAAAAGCCCCACCTATGACTACATAAGGCTTTGGGAGGAACATCCAGATACAAGCCACGACACTTTGTTGTATGACAGTAGCCATTACTAGACTAATTCAAGTGGTAGTTATTAGACTAATTTTATTCCCCAAAGGAATATTTGATAGATAGGGCTGAGAACAGTAAAAATAATTTTAGTTTAAGTTATACCTAGCAATAAAAAACAAATCATAGCTTCTCTGTAGGCTAGCTTGTAAATGAATAATAAATAAAGAAAATTCAATCTACCTATAATAAAATGAAGTTATTCAACTTCTCTATGTTCCTGGAATATTTCCCTTTTTCACTGCCTCTATCTGATTAGTGGTATATATCAGGTCATAATGTTTCTTGAATATCATGTTATCTTTTAAGTAATAGTTCCAAGAATAGTAGAAAATTTATGTTTTTTTTTAATCAAGGGTAGACCCTTTGGAATCATTTCAGTTCATCATATTCTTTCATTCATTTACCACAACTTTATTGCACACTTATTGAATGATAGATCCTATATTAGATGCCAGGGCAGTGATCATAGTACCTTTCTGCAGATATCTGGCCCTCAAGAAGTTTATATTTTAATTATATTTTAATTTGTTCAGTTATGCTGGGTCACTGAGTGGAAATAGTCTTCAGCATAGGCCATCTACTGGCTCTGTTACTTCTGCCTTTCACATTAGTAAATATCTTAAGATTTAAATGACTGGCCTTATTCTATGGTTGTCTAACACCCACTGGCCACCAGTGTTACAGTTTTAGATAAAGGAGATGAAAATGTGATCTATCAAATATTGCATTTTTAATAATTTCTCTGAATCAATTTTAAAATAATTTGCATGTAATAAATTATACCTATTTTAAGTGTAGAATTCAATGAAGTGTGACAAAGTATGAACCCTTATAACTACAACTACAGTCATTTACCTGAAAAAGAAACCTAGAAATTAATCTGAGTTCCTCTCTCATCTCATTTCAATTACTAATTTGTTTGTTCCACACTTTAAATTTCCAGAGATCCTATCCCTTCCTTCCTACCCTACCTTCTACCTTGGTTTTTGATATGTTAGGTCCTTAATATTTGTCACCTCTATTACTGCAACCTACAATATAACTAGCTTGTGGCACTGAACTCATTCCTTTCAACCGTGTTATTACAGTTGGATTTTTCTAGAATGAGGTTCTGATCATATTAGCCCCTCTGCTTCAGATCCCTTGATGGCTCTGCAATTCCCACTCTCCCTCCCTGTTTTCTGAGGAAGGGGTTGGTATGGAGTGACAGCTGGTACAGTGACAACCCCACTTAGCTTATAGAGAATATCTGATATTCACAGAGCGCCAGATGTGTGGCGGGAAGGTGACAAGTAGAAGAAATAAAAACTTTGCCTTTCAGCTTTGCAATGATCAGAAGTACTTTAATTTGGCTTGAGCCAAAATATTAGCAGGTGGTGGAATCCAGCTTTCTCCTTGTTGGAGTAGGAATTCCCAGATAAGCAAGTTGTGCAGGCTTCAATGAGCCGTTTGAGAATGGATTAGATTTGGAGATGCCAGTATGAACTTGAGTTTAGCTTCATATAGACACTGACGGCGACACAGAGAAGTGTGAAGACGTGTGTATTCTGTCCCCAGGTTAGTATGCACACATGCACTTCCCTGCTCTCTCAGCTGAGGGACCTAAAAGAAATGACATTGAAAAGCAAAAAGTACACCTCCCCTGATCTTTGTTTTTACTGCTATTCTCCAATAAAAGACTCCTTGGGGAAATAGCTGATTCTAGGAATAGGGTAGGAAATACAGTACGTGAGTCGAGAAAATCTTAAAGTGCCAGAAATTAAAGCAGCATTCAAGAAGAAAAAAGAAGGAAGAGAATGAGAAAAAAAGAAGAAAAGAAAGGAGAGAGGAGGAAAAGGAGAAGTGGAAGAAGAGTGAGGAAGAAGAGAAAGAAGGAAAAGGAGAAAGAAAAGCCATATCCATGGGAGTAGAGGAAGATAAAAGCCAATTCAAAAAGCTTCCAAATGGCCAAAGATGGAACACACTGAACTACAAAATAAACAAAGTAGTGTTGGACTGTAACCTAAAATATAAGATAACTATCCACAGGTCTAAACTTACATAAATAAAAAACCGACCAAAAAGAGATAGATACCCTGTGAAGAAAAATTTCCAATAATTTACCTGCTACTCTGACTTCAAGGAGGGGAGCTTCCTAAGGGTAGGGGACACATCATGTAATTAATTCCCTCCTAAGGTGTTAGTATGAAATGAGGGGAGGGAGTGGGGACTTTACACTAGAGAAACCTGAAAAATGCTCCCTTGGCCAGATGACCCATGCTAATATCAAGTGTTGTGTCATATTAATAGTATGTACCTTCACTCCAATTGAGTTATGAGAAAATATCAGACAAATTCTAATACAAAATAGCTGGTGAGTATTCTGCAAAGCCTATCAAGGACATCAAAATGATGAAAGTCTGAGAAACTGTCACAGCCAAATGTCTAAGGGGGCAGGACTACTAAATGTGACATTATTGGATGGGATCCCAGGACAGAAAAGAAACTTAAGGTAAAACTAAAGAAATATAGGTGAAACTTGGACTTTAGTAAGAATGTTTGATACTGGTTCACTAATTGTAACAAGGGTACTATACTATTGCAAGATGTTAATACAGTACTAGGGGAAATCACATGAAGTATATCAGAACTCTGTAGTATCTTCTCAGTTTTTCTGTAAATCTAAAAGTATTCTTTAAAAAGTCTATTACAGGTTGAAAGTATCATTTGAAAGGCCTCAAAATAACCCAATGGTTTCTGTCTCTTCTGCAGTTTTGACAGTGTTTCCTGCCTTGCTGACTCGACTTCCCTCTCAGACATCACTTTTGATGGCAACCCAATAGCTCAAGAGTCATGGTACAAACACACCGTGCTCCAGAATATGACGCAGCTGCGCCAGCTGGATATGAAGAGAGTCACGGTGAGAACCTTCCAAAGCCTCACCACACTGTTCTCCTTAGTGTGGTGTAGGAGACTGGGTACCTGTTCTGTGCTTGAGATGCTTCTTAATTTTAATTAATTATGACTTTGGACTATCATGACTATATACTTCATAATTATAATTACAGAGATTTTACCACCTGGCCCCATCTCTAATTTTCTCAAGTAGAGCTTTAAAAACCCCTAGCTTTCTATTTAATCACCATGCTTGTTTTTCCTTCTTGCTTAATATCCAGCTAATCATTAATTTTGGAATGTATGAATGAGAGTTTCATTAAGTGATGTGGTGTAATGGGTAAGAACACATATTCGGGAGACAGACTGCTTGAGTCTGCATCCTGGCTTGAGCACTTTCTAGCTATGTGATCTTAGTAATTTATTTAATCTTTTTTCTCCAAGTAAAATAAGAATCACAGTCATGCTGTATCATAGAGTTGTTGTGAAGACAAAATAAAATATAAAACTTTAGAAGAATGTAAAGATCCTAGGAAGCTTTGTGTGGAGTTGTTATTGTTGATGTTATACCTCCCAAAGTAGCTAGCTCTGTTTTTATTTATTCTATCTCTTTTATATTTCCTATAAACAAATATTTTGGTCTGGATGCTGACCTAAAGGAAATTCTATATATGATACCTCTTTTTAGGTACACATTGCACGCAATTAGCATATTACTGGTACCAAGAAGTTCTGTTGTAAAGAGACCTATCTTGTCTTGTTTCACTGCATTCCAAATTTGTTTGGATATTTTCACAGAAAATACCTGTTAAAAACCTGTCTGATCACTTCTATTCTAGAAAAATATCCCAGGCCTCCACCTGTTTTTATTTTCCTCTTCTAGACTTTGCTAATTTTGATGTGAATTCTGATGATTAGTTAGGTTTACTCAGTTGCCAGGGGACTTTTATATCAGCTTCTCTGTGTGTGGTTTTCATTTATGCCTCAGCAATATGATGAGTACCTAGGGTGGTTAGCAAACAGGAATCAGTGTAGCTGAATTCATGAATAGTGAGGGTTTCCTTGACTTTGCCCTCTCTCTGTTTTATGATGTAATTGCAATTATAGTTCCTGCCCTAAAGTTACTTACCATCTGCTACAGAGACAGGCATGCAGCTAGATTGCAATGCAAATGATGATCCAGGTAAATGAGATAATTAGATTCATATAATATATAATGTAATATAGTGCAAACACACACGGCAAAATAATAACAGAGCAAAGTAACTCCTAAGTCTTTCAGAGAAAGAATATTTCCAATAGGGCCAATATTTGACACACAGAGTAAAGAGAGACAAAGAAGAAGGATGCATCTGTGGAGAGTAAAGGTGTGTCAAATGCAAAGGAGCGCTGAGAGAATTGCACATCAGATAGCAGCAGTTTGGCATGGCTGACCATGAGTATACAGGGAGAGTAAGGGAAGACAAGGTCTGACAGGCAAGGTCTGGAGCATTTCATGTCAGGAGTGTAGGTTGTTTGTCTTGGGCATAATAGGATGAGCCCTGGAAGAGTTTAAGGATGCCTATTAAAAATCACTTGCCTATTAAAAATCACTTGCCTATCTGGGTAGAGGCTAAAGGATGAACCAGGAGGAGGGGATGGATAATGAGATGAACCGGGGTAAGGGACTCTGAGCATCTGACCCAGAGGAGTAGCAAGACATAAGACGGTGCTGTCCACTGCTGGCCTCAACTCATATTTTTGCTTTTGTTATTTCTCCTGGGAAGAGTGGATTTTAGTCTACTAAGAATAGGGTAAATATTAATCAGATGAAAGTGAAGCCTGTGTTAGATGAATAAATAAACGTGAGTCCAGGCCCATCTAGAGCCAGGGCTTGGCAAACTTTATCTGGAAAGGACCTCAAGGTAAATATTTTAGGGTTTAGAGTCTACACAGTCCCTGTTGAAACTGCTCAGCTCTCCCACTGTAGTGTGAAAGCAGACACGGGCAGTCTGTAAATGAAAGAGCACGGCTTTGTTTTAAAAAGTTATTTGAGAAAACAAGTGGGACTGGATTTGGCTGCGGGCTAGAATTTGTCAGTCTTTGATCTGGAGCGCTGGACCATTGAAAGTTGATATCTGGGATGTGGTGTAGAATAATAGAGTAGCTGAACATTAAGGTGAATTAATCTGCCTTTTTATTACAAAAGGAGAAAACATAAACTCCCCAAACTGTGACAGTCAGCTTGCTATTGATTATGAAAGAAATCTAAACTGGATTATTAAAGTGCAGTTGGTGAATACTTAAGGACTTGATCACTAGGAGGCAGCATTAATTCACTAAAAATAATTCAAGCCTTAAAAGTTTCCAATTTTATAGTTTGTTTTTTAGTTGACATAATATTTGTTCATGTTCATGGTGCATAATAAATACATATATACAGTATGTAACGATCATATCAGGGTAATTATTAATAGACCCTTTCAGAGAAGTGCTATAGACGGTGTTTTGATATTCAAGCAAAGCGTATGGCAAAGGCTTCTATGACATCATTTTGAGTAAGCTGTATGACAGCATGGTTAAGTGGATTTTTGATTCAAGCATATGTACAGAACACAAAGAATGGATTAATGCCAGGCTTTCAAGAAATCCGTACTGACGTGGCAATGCGGGGTTTGTCTCTGGTCCGTTTTAGTCAACAACTTTTGTTACATAAGAAAATATTAATGTCACTCTGATAAAGTATGTGAATGACAGAACTAGAGAAATTAGAGGTCCTAATATATTTGTTGCTGGGATCAGAATACAAAAGTAGCTCAGTCGTCTAGCACAAGGTTTTAGCAGTCTACAGCCTACAATCCAAATCTGTACTGCAGTTTATTTTTGTGCAGCTGTCAAGCTAAGAATGATTTTGAGAGTTTTAAAACAATGTTTAAAAAAAAAGAAGGGAACAGGAAAAATAAAGATGAATATGAGTTAGAGGTCATATTTTGCTCACAAAACCTGAAGTATTTACTCTCTGACCCTTTACAGAAGTTTACTGCCTGCCTCATCTTGAAAAATAAGCAGCGTTTAGCATTTTTAAAAATACATAAACTGAAAATATTGGATTTTTCACCATAACAGCAGTCAGATAAAACAATTCACAGCACAAATGCAGAGTTATGGAAGATGAGACCTTAGTAGCATGCATGAAAATAACTTTCATTAGAATTGATAAACTCAAGTTTAGTTAATTATGAGATGTGATAGAAGTTAATATTTAAAACATTAATTTATAGAAATAAAGAAATCAGAAAATATAATTGTTCCATTTTTTTCCTTCAATGGTCAGAGTACACCTAAACTATTGGTTTGAGATGGGTAATGGCAAGGAGGATCATTTCCAGGGAGCCTTGTTTGATTTAACAAAACCTAAGACATAAGGCAGATGTTACAGTGGTCTCCAACTATTCTCACAACTGTTCACAAAAGAGAGATACAGACACACTTCGAAGAGCTAGAACAAGGGCCATTACACAGAAAATTCTGGGAGGCAGAACCTTCTCCTTTTTCTTTCTAAGTCCTCATTTGGAGAATGGAGATGGTTCTCATAATTGGAAAAGAGAAACAATATCAAAGTTTAGTTGGCCTCATAGGAACTTGTTTATAATTCGCTCTCCAAAAACCTAGACTAGCTCATCTCAGACAAAAGCTCATCACAGTTTCTTGTTATGGTAGACATTACTAATGCTGACAAATGATTTGTTTTACTCTTTCTGACATATGGAAGATGGCGGCTTTTTTTTCACCCCTAAAGTTACATGTTGTGTAACAACGAGCTTCGGCTAATGAAATGCAAGCAGAAGTAATGTCTCATTTCCAGGCAGCAGCATTCAAAAACCACAAGATTCTACTTTTTTCCCATATGGTAGTCATTATGGAAGCATATATTGAGCTGAAGATGCCATCAGATCACAGCGTATAGAAATATGTAGCCAGTACATGAAGATACTTGAAGTTTTCTTTGCGTGATGAAGAAATAAACTTATCATAAGCCAGTGTCGATTTTGAAGTTGTTGGCAATGGCATAATCTGCCCTGTTCTGGCTTTTCTCCTCCTTTTCCTCACCCCCAGTATTGAACTACTATTCCTGGCCCAGAAGAAGCCAGGTGAGATGACTTCTAACCTTCACTTTAACACTATAACCTTGAAAGGATAAATTTCCTGTGTTGAAAGAGTTTGTTTGAATGAAAAAATATCGGTTATGTCTTAGAGAATAACAACAAAAAAAAACTGTTTCTAGTCTTTAAATATTTTGTATATTCAAAGAAAACAGTGGCTGTTTATAACTACCTAGTCTACAGTGTGTGGCCAAAGAGTACATTGCCACTTAAGTTTCAAAATTCCACGTGAGAAATTTCTGTCTGTATTAAGACTATGTTATTTATTCTGGAGGAAAACTTCCTCTTAACTGTATTTTCTTTTAGAGCTGTAATAATCTGCTGAAAAAGCATAATCTAGGTTATCAGATACCTATTAAGTCACTGTATGACTTAATTAACTTGAAATTATTTCTATAATGGATGTTGAGGGCCAAATCGAAGTAAGGAAAAAAGTAGGTTTTTTTGGTCCCAGATAGATCCCTTTCTTTTGCCACGTAAAGAATATGGCTTCTGTCCAAGAAACTGGATTATTATTATGAAGGTGTCAGACTTTTACAGTTTTACCAACAGATTTATAGCTTATCTTCACAAATAGAGGTTTATTTTTGTTTCTAAATTTAGTTGTTCTATAATTACTTGGGCTGAAATATAGCCATCAGATGTAAAAATTCCTTAAGACACTCAATATTTAAATTGATTTGGTGTAAATCCAGTTTTCCAAGGTTTAAATTTCCCTTTAAAGCCCTACTGCCTTAATAGAAGTTCAAATTCTTTTCAAAAATCTGATGAAATCATTTCTTAAGTATGTGTAGTACGTGATCCATACAGTTTCCATTACTGTTTGAAACTGGCTCTGAGTAACCAATCTGTTTCTAGTTCACATTTTAGATGAATCAACACTGAACATCAATATACTTTTGCTCTTTAAAAGTTCATCCTGAAATAGGTTATACTCTATAAGTACAAAATCAGTATTTACTAAGAAAGTTTAATATAATTGTTACACCCACTATTTTGGGAAGCCAGGAATCAAAGTTCTGACTCTTTTTTGAGTTTATTTCTCCTGATTACCTCTGTCCAGTTTAAGAATACTTATTTTCTATGTATTGTTAAGTCACTTTAAATTCACTGAAAATCACATTAAATTGTTATTCCCTTTAAAACAAGTAAATCACATGGCAGATTACCTTTGAATTATAACCTCTTTCATCTTCCTAAAATTAGTAAAATAAATATCATTCTTATAAAAAATATTATAAGCTGGGTGCATTGGTGCATACTGTAATCCCAGCATCCAGAGAGACTGAAGCAGGAAGATGACAAGTTTAAGCCCATTCTGGGCAACTTAGTGACTTAATTTCAAAATAAAAATAAGAAAAGGGATAGAGATGTAGCTCAGCGTGAAATCTCTGGGCTCAGTCCCCAGTATCACAAATAAGCAAAAATACTGCAAATTCCATCTCTAATATTCCATTTCTGACTTTGATGCTAACTGTGTGACCTCATAAGTTACTAACTTTTCAGAGCATTAGTGTCCTCATGTCTAACATTAGAATCTTCTAGTGGGTGCTTTTTTAGTTTTTACTTTTCAATTCTGTGTATTTGTGTGTTTTTAAAGTGTACTTTGTAGTCTAAGTCTTTGTTTTGGGACATATGTATAATGGCCTGCCTTCTAGAATATATTTCCATAGTCTTTTTGGCCTCCCTTGGCTCTGAATGTATATTGGTGAGGTCAGGCTAGATTGTATGGTGGTATCACCGTCCTTAACCTCAGTGGATTAAAGCAATAAATGCCTATGATAACCTGATTGCCTGCAGCATATGGTCTTGGATCTTTGTTCCATGTTGTCCTCCTTCCAGGACTAGGCCCTCAGCATACCCATCATCAGGAGCTTTGCAGATATTCAATAGAAGTGAGAGAGAGAACAGCAGCACCATACCTTGTCTGAAAGCTTCCATCCAGAAATAAATACACGGCACTGTTCTTTGTATGACATTAGCCAAAGTAAGTCATATGACCGTATCGAACTTCAAGAGGATAGAAAGTGCTATTCCACAATGCAGCCTGCACATGGGAAGCATAGGAATATTTAGTGAACAGCTCTTACAACTCTCCACCAGGTTTCAAATCAAATATTGACTTGTGGTAGGGATATAAATTAATACATTAGTAGAGTGCCGAATGCTAACATGCCAAAGCCTTGTAAATATGACTGCCATTTGAATTAGCCATTCTAGTTTTAGGAAATGATTGAGCCATAAAGATATATATCTATTAGTTCACTCCTTAAATGTATATTTTTTGAGCATCTACCATGTGCCAGGAGTTGCCCTGGTCTCTACACTCATGGAGCTTATTTTGGGGGATTGGAGGCAGGAGGATAGTGCCAGGGATCATTAGAATGTAATAGGTTAAGTGTTATGATGGAGAAGGGAGTAGGAAATTTCCCCCTGATCCACTTCCAGTTGACCGATTTTCTCTTCAGCTCCGTATAATCTGCTGTTGAACACCCCCCTTGTTGAACTTAATTTCATCTCTTACCATCTTTCATTTATAATGGTCCTACTGTTACTTAGTTCTACCTATTTACTCTCTAAACTTAGTTCTGCTAAGTTACTTTTTATGGTTTCTGTCTCTGAAGACATTTTCAAGCTTATTTTTTAGAAAGAAATTGTTTTCTTAAACAGAGACATAAAAATATTTTGGTAATGTACATTAAAAAGTCAAATGATGAGAATTTACTGTGAAAATTTCTCTTTCTTTAGCTAGAAAAAAAAAATGATCCACACTGAATATCACAGATTATAACTTCAAAAACTTTGCTCATGAAAAAAAAATTTAAACAATACACAGAACTTTTAAGGTTTGATTTAGGGTAATAGGATTGTGATTTTTAAAAAATTTTTAAACTAAATAATAATGTATTTTATAATTTTATTTTTTCCATATTTATTGAAATACAATTGAAAAACTTTTAAAAAATTTGTACAAAGAAAAATTATATAAACCAGCTCCCTTTTTCTGTCTCTTATTCCTTTTCTTTGATATATTAATGAACTAGGTTCATCTAACCTCCAGAGTTAAAATGCTTTTTTTTTTTTTTGGTTTTTTCTCCGGTACCAGGAACTGAACTCACGACCTTGCGCTTGCCAGGCAGGCGCTTTTGCCGCTGAGCTAAATCCCCAGCCCCAAGAGTTAAAATGCTTGAGTGCCTCCTGAGTGCACACCTGTAATCCCAGCACTTGGGAGGCTGGGGCAGGAGGATCACTGAAAGTTTGACACCAGCCTGCGCTACACAGAGAGTTCAAGGCCAGTCTAGTGAGACTCTGTCTCAAAAAAAAGAAAGAAAGAATTAAGAGGGGGAAAGGCAATGTATAATGTTTTAGAAATACAAAGGAAGAACACAATAAAGAGAAACATACCAAATTTCTCTTGGAAAGTATATTTTCTGTTAGCAAGTTGTTGTACCCCTCAAGAAGAAGGCCTTGGGCCAATGATATTTACCATATTAAACATTTCATAATACTTTTTGAAAACTTTTTTTTTCAGGAAGAAGAAAGACGTATGGCATCTGTTGTAGCCAAAAAAGAGGAAGAGAAGAAGCGGGAAAGTCAGAAGCAGAGTTTGCTTAAGGTATTTTCGCTGAGATCTTCATCCTGGTGGGCACACATGTGTGCACCATGGAGCTAGCGAGCTCATCTACTGGGAAATTTGTTTCTAAACTTTGTAAATTTTTCATGCTTGTCAGTAGTATGTTTTTTGTAAATGAGCGCTCCTAAAGCTCTTACAAGTTGCTATCTACAAATAAACCTGTACTTAAACTTATAATATAATGTACATTATAAAACATATGCAAAGGTAAGAGACTTTAAACAGATAAAAATAAAATATAATACAATTGAAATAAATAAACACCTCTCAGAAGAAGAAGTACAAATGACCAATAAGTACATGAAAAAAAATGTTCAGCATCTTTGGCCATTAGAGAAATGCAATTCAAAACTACACTGAGATTTCATCTTATCCCAGAATGAATGACTATCATTAACAAGTCAAATGGTAACAAAGGCTGGCAAGGCTGCAGGGATATGGGAGCCGTTTTTATTGGGAAATGTAAACTGGTACAACCATTGTTGGAAATTAGTATGGAGAGTCCTCAAAAAAACTAAAACTTCTACTTCTAAGTATCTTCTGGGAGAGTTAAAGACATCATATTACAGTGAAACATGCATACTAATGTTTATAGCAGCAGAAGTCATAATAGCTAAATCTTAGAAATAGCCAACATGCCCATGAAGAGAAAAATGAATAAAGAAAGCATGATGTGTATATACACAATGGAGTATTACTCGGCCATAAAGGAGAATACATGTGAATCATTTGTAGGAAAATGGATGTACCTTGAGACCATAATGCTAAGCAAAATAAATCAGACACAGAAAGTTAAATATTGCATCTTTTCTCTTGTATGAGAAACCCAAAGCATAAATAATTTAAAGAGCAAAATAAAAGATGGAACTTTTATAGATAGGGATCAAGAGAATGGAGGGAATGGAGAGGAAAGAGAAATAAAAAGAACTAGGATGTGATCTGTATATGCACCAACTTCCAAAGATGAAAGCATTCATTGTGGATCACATCCACATACTAAGAGAAAATCTTTTTTAAAGAAAATAAGCTTTAACAGTAAAAAAGTACTTGTTCCCAATTCTTCTCTCTGGACTTCGAAAGCAGTTTAGAGTTAAATATTACTAAATATACTGCAATTTCCTTACCTGCTACCATGCCTAACTTACAGATCCTCCCCACCTTTTATTTGTTATGTATGCCATTAGTTAGGTGTGCCTAAGCCTACTCCTGACAGACCTACCTTTTTACTGATTTAGCCAGCAGGATTTTAATCTTTCCTATATTGAAATATCCCTAAGGGTTAGCCAAAAATACCTTGGTTTTTAGGACACATTTTTAAAAACCTATAGGAGCAATATTTGCCACTGCCAGGCATCACTATTTTGCAAATGGTTCCTTTAGAAACAATAGCCTTCGCTTTGATGCATTTACTGTGCTCAGATGCCTACGTGAATGAGTACATAACTGAGTATGAATGAGTAGAAAGACACACATGCGCAGAATGGAAGCTCGCAGATCTACAGAACAGTCTCATGTGAGAGTCCTAGAGTGTGGAAAGGAAGAATAAAATCCACTGATGATTTGCTATAACACTTCCAGTGTAAGGAGAGCTTGGTATATGCACCAGATCATATTTGAATTCACTTTCAATGGAAATTTTTTGTTACATACCCAACTCAGCTATCTTACTACCATCAGTATTTGAGGAAATGTACATTCATTGTTTAGCAAATATTGAAAAGAATATTTGGCTCAAAGTAAAAAACAAAAAAAAAAAGAAGGTGGGGGAAGCTGGAAATGTAACCATGTGTGAAGGCCCCTGGGTTCAAGCCCTAGTACAAAACAAAAACAAATGCTGTAACTTTGGAAAGTGGCAAATGGTTTTCTTCAATTCACTAGTAGGACTCCTGCATGATAGGGATTATTTAGCTTTTTATTTTCAGCAAATCTAGAAGCATGCAGATGCTTTTACTTTCATTTGACTCCATATGTTGATCATTAAGAAAATGGGATGAGTTGGGTGCAGAGGACAGGGAGGTTCATGGGCCTGTGTTTTCTGCCTTTTTCCTTGCATTGGAAATGAAAGGAAGTAGTAATTATGGCATGCACTTGTATAGTCTTGCTCAGACTGTAAAGAATAGATTAAAATGGCCAAATTTGGAATGTGGCATCTTCTAAAATATTTGTTACTTTAACACAGACTTGGAAATTTGCATCCATCCAGCTATTCCAAAGGTAATTATAGGCTGATGCCTCCATGGTCTTTAGAATAAACTTTTCTTTAGGTACCCTCTTCTGCCTAGAAGAATATCTAGCATAATCAAGCCTTCCTTTTTTTCTTGTGCCATGGTGTCTAGAGCCATCCTGTGGCCTTCTGACCACCAGTCCTCACCTGGCTGCAGGATACACTCCTGCCTTAAACTGTCTCTTCCTTTATCCTGGCTCCAATACAATTACTCATTGTCTTAGGCAGCCTGGTGTTAACCCGATTTTAATAACCCAAGTAAAAGAAGCTTAACTTTAGCCTGAGTATAAAAAAGTGTTTGCATTTCCAGATACTATATTGTTATAAATTTATTAACATACCCAGTGGTGTAGAGTTATTTTATGGCTCTTTCTCTAAGCATTGCTGCATATACCTCATTAAGAATACTCCGTTCTGCCAACCCCTGTCAGCCAGAAAGCCAAATGCAAGGAGCCAGTGACCTTGGTACTGAGTAAAAATAGCAGCGTTGCTTAGATTAAACATTGGGTTGGCACAGTCATCCACAAGTAACTAAAATAAAATCCCTTAAGGTAGAATGTCTTTTTATTATAGAGTAGGGAATGACGTTTTTATAGTAGAAGAGCAGAATCCCATTTGCTGTAGGTAAAGAGGACATACCTAAAATGTAAAAACATCTCAGAAGTATACATACATCTTCAGTGTAACCCAATTAACTATAAAGACAAATCTGAAATACCAAACAATAGAACAAGGAACGCAGGCCAAAACTAGAGACATAGAAGTTTTAAGCAGAAAATAGAAGTTTTAAAAGTTCAGGGTAACTAAGCAAGCCACATCACTTTTCATTCCTATCTGATGCCATGGATACAGGCTAAAATCTTAGATAAACAAATGTATGCAAAGAGATGCAACTAGAAATAATTGTTCTCCACGTACCCAGGCACTGAGGGCAGGTCAGTGAATTTCTCTCGCAGCCTTTGTTGGCTCCAGAGAGCTGGTGGGGAGGCGGCAGTGTCACCCTCTGCTGATCTTTCCTTGGCAGATGGTCCTCATAGCAAAAAGGAAAGGGCATGTATGTAGTTTTAATATTCTGATCTAGTTGAAATTCTGTTTCACAATGTTAACTTTTGGTAATGGGGACTTCGCTAGAATAAGAATTCTTTATCCTAGTCAATATAAACTGAATATAAATGGGACAGAAATATTTTAATCTAGCGCAGATTTCTTTTAGTGGCTTAGCTTTCTTTTCTGAACAGGGTTTCTGTAAGAGAATGAGTGCTCATGTTCCAAGACAGTGGTTTTCAAGGGAGGTGCATGAACCAGCAACATTAGCAGTAACTGGGAGTCTGTTGGTGATGCAAGTTCGCAAGCCCCACACCAAATACAAGGTAGAACAGGATGAGGTCCAGCAGTCTGTTTTACAAAGCTTTCTAGGTGATCTGAAGCACTCTAAAGTTAGAAAAACACTGCTTGAAGGCATCCATTACATATAATGAATTAATGTATTTCCTGTTCTTTTAAAATGGCGCTAGTTATATAGAAACACTTCCGCTTAGCAGTTTCTTTCAGTGGTATGGGCAATATTTTGTTTTCATTTTTAGACATGACATTTGATGCTTTTTAAACATGGAACCTTGATCAGGGCCTCTCCTCTTTCCTCCCCCACCAAGATTGCAATACAGTATGCATCCTAATTTCAGACAGGAAAATTAAAATACTAGTTTCTTTTGCTGTGTTTAAAGACAGAGGCATATAAGTTTCTGTCAGATTTAAATTTCTTATAGCAAATAATAATAGTTTCTTTTTAAAAGTATTGTAAGAAGCCACAAGCAATATATTCCTGGGCTTCTCGCTTCAGAAATTTATGTTTTGTAATTCTTGTCATAGGAGAAGAAAAGGTTAACAATTAACAACGTAGCTCGACACTGGGACTTGCAACAACGAGTAGCCAACAATGCTACAAATCAAGATCGCAAAGACTCTGCCTCTCCCCCTCAGGACCCCTGCCAGACGGAGGGAAGCACCACCTCTCCATTTCCGGAGGACACAGGGTATGCCGCGGGGCCCTTGCGGGACGCTAGCGTCTTTCAAGAACTCCGTTTGGGTCAGGGCTTGGAAAGCATCCCACATCTAATTACTTCTGAAGAGCAGATTTCTTAATTAAGAAAGGTTACTGAAAGTAGAAGTTTAAATTAAGAAGTTAAGATGGAAAAATTAAAAACAGAAATTTAAAAACCTTCCAGTGGTTTCCTGTTGTTTATAGGAGAAGTCTAGATGATTTAATACAGTCTGATGAGGCCCCCAGCCCCCTCACCTGTTTCGTCCCACGTCCCACCCCGTCAGCCGCCTTCTAGGGTCTTGCTGACTTTCTTTGGGTTCCTTTCTTTCCCGGCTCAGAATATTTCTGTAAGAGTAGACTTCTACCGCCGGGTACCACTTCCTTGTACTTCCTGATCCTGCGCGGCTAACTCCAAGGCAGCCCAGAGGTCTTGCGTTTCAACCTCACATACCCCAAAACCTTTCTCTGACTCCAGAGCCTGGAGCAGATTATGTCTGACTGTCCTGCCCTTCCTCTGTGTTCTTTTCTATAACCTGGTTGGTGGTTAGTAGTTTTACATCTGTCTCACCCAAAAGCTTCATAAGGCAAAGGATCTTGATACGCTTGACCACTGTTGTATCTCCAGCAGCCAGTACAAAACTTTATGCTTTAGTAGTAATAAACACTTCGGGATCAAATTGGAATAAGTGTTCAGTTATGGTCTGTGGTCTGTGTGTTTCCATGGCTCACAACCTCTTTTCCTGTACCACAGAATTAGTGGTTCTGACAACACTGTCCACACCCCGTGTACTTCTCTCCCTCTCAGGAAAGCATGTTGGAGTGGAGTAGATGAGAGAACATACAACACATACATCGCTAGAGTGTGGATATAATTTAAATATATATGCATAATTTTTAAAAGCCTGAAAATCAAAAATCAAATATATTTAAATTTTTATTGGAAAATACATTTGTTTTATTATCTTAACCAACTGTTAAAATGCATTTCAAACTAAATATAATATAGCTTTTATTTCAAGTGTTTAGCTAGAATTTCTTCAGCCTTTCATGTGCAAAAAAGTGTACTAAAAGCAATAGTTTGAGAGGCATTAGAATAATGCCTTAGAAATGTTCTGGAGTTTAAGTCTGACATATATTTAGATGAACTTTTAAATTTTCAGTTACAGAATATACTTTATTTCTATCAAGCTATTTTTATACTTGAGAACCCACATATAAAACTTCTCAACTCTTTCAGCTAGAAAAATAAGGCAACAAGAATAGAAATTGTACTATTGTATATAGCTAGTATACCTTTCTGATATAGTCCTAGAGCTCCATTTAATATTTATTATTTAATATCAGATATAATTTTACTGAGTTAGAACTGTAACACTTTATAATGTTACGACTTTATAGCATGGGAGTTTAGATTCATAAAATAGTGCACACCAGTACTACTTTTGATGTCTCTCTTTTTGAAAATGTTTATCCAAGTAATCTTGCAAGTTTTATTCTAAAATTTTAATAAGGACATAGAAGGGAGAGGAATGGGACCAAAAAGAGGAACTAAGATACATCATGTACAGGTACAAATTCCCTATAAGGAATGTGATCATTATATATATCTAAACTATACCAATAAACTTAATTTAAAAAAATAAAGCAACCTGAGAAAGCAAAAAAAAGACTTAAAAATTCATCCTTTGATACATTAATTTATGTTTATAGTATACAATGTTAGGTAAGGGTGTAACTTGATTTTAATTGGCTAGTCAATTTTCTAATAACATTTCTTAAATAAACTATTTTTTCTTTTTTAATAAGAATGCCATCTTTATCTTATGTTAAGTTCCCATAAATATGTGGATATATTTCTGAATGTATCCTATTCTACTAATCTATGGTATTTATTTTAATGCCAATATCAGATTCTTTTGTGATGGTTTCATAGTAAGTTTTAATAACCAGTAGGGAGGGGAGCGCCAGCCTTCTGGCTGGCTAGCTTCCTGCCTGCTGGCTC